TGCTCTTGCATTTTCGTAAGAATGTACATTTCGATTTTACTGTTTTGTCCTTTAAGCAACACTTGTAGGTAGGAATTCCAGTTCTCAGATCCCAGAAATAAAACTTAGGCCTTTCTTTGTTCTTCCCAAATTGAGCCAAGACTGGTGTTGGGCAGTCCTTTGTCTACTAGGAGGAAACTGAGGACTAGAACCCACTCAACCCTACTTGGTTCAGCAAGGCAATAATTCACAAGGAAGGGAGTAGTATGGTGGACCAAGTCCTCCTTACCCGATTGAGATGCCCACACCCGGACCTATGCTGAACTGTCTTACCTAAATGATACTTAAGAGAAAGCTTCAGCAGTTTTCTTTTTTCTTGTGAGCTGTACTAATTTACTTAGTCTAGAGGAGCTTTACTCATAGCAAATTGGCTAGAGGCAATGTCTTTGGCTGAGCCCTGTAATTTCTCTTTACAGACGTGTCCTTGAGGCGGCAGAACTTGGTCCAGGCCTTGAAGGGAAGGATTCAGGAAAAGCAATGTGAGGGCTTCCAGGTGAGAGAAACCGGAGTAAGAGGGCTGTGAAAGTGGTCCAGGAACAGGGAGTGGTTATTTTTATTCATTTGGTGAGAAAGCTGAAAGGAATTCTGAGCCAGATTGTGGAGGGGAGTTTAGAGTTCATGAGATACTGTAAAATGTGAATTGAGTGATACAGTGAGTAGTTAATGAGTATCCTTATGAAGAGTTATAAAAATGGTTTAAGGTGATTACTCTTGCAGGCTCTTAGGATGGTAGACCCATGTGGAGGACAGAAAGGAAGAACTGGAAAGAAAAAATAGTGCTATATCTTTCCATATCCCTTACTGTAGGTTTGGGGAAATTTTTTTATTCGTTTATTCATATGTGCATACATTGTTTGGGTCATTTCTCCCCGCTGGCTTCCCTCCAAACCCCCTCTCTTCCAGGCAGAATCTGTTCTGCCCTTATCTCTAATTTTGTTGAAGGGAAAGTCTGAGTAATAATAAGAAAGAGAAAGCGTTTTTGCTAGCTGAGATAAGGATAGCTATATAGATTCCTAGCATTGTTTCCATGTACAAATGTGTTACATCCCAAGTTGATTCATCTCTAACTGACCTTTTAACTGGTTCCTGATCCCCTTCTTATATTCCTCTGCAGTGGGGACAACAAATACTATCATGTTTTGGGTTTCTTACCTATCCGGTTTTGGGGAAACTTAAATATGAGTTACTTCTGTTCAAGCATAGACAGGCAAAGTGACTGAAGTGTGTGTGGGGGGGTGGAGTCAGTCAGTTATGTTTAATTTCTTAAGGTGTTATTCATCCAGAAAGTAAACTTACATAACAATATTTCTGTAAGTAAATTTTAATCGTATACTTTAAAGACGAATACTTAAGCAGTGGGAGAGATAGCATTACCAGAGGCTGTACAATGGATGGTGCTAAGAAAACAGTCAAAGCTGGATGCCAGTGACTCATGCCTGTAATCCTAGTTACTCAGCAGGCAGAGATCAGGAGGATAGTGGTTCAAAGCCAACCTGGGCAAATAGTTCCCGAGACCCTATCCTGAAAAAACCATCACAGAAAAAGGATGGTAGAGTGGCTCAAGTTGTAGGCCCTGAGTTCAAACACCAGTATTGCTACAAAAAAACCCCAAAAAACCAGAACATTACCAAATACTAGAGCTAGAACATTGACAGAAAACAAAAATTTTGGTAAGTCTAATCTCAGGGTAGAGGGAGAAGTTGGAGTTGGGAAATAGGGGTTGATCAGTGATTAGACAAAAAAAGGAAGAAACTGAAACTGGCTAGAAAGAAACTGAAACTATGGCAAGTCAGCTTCAGGTATTTCCTACTGCCAGTGAATATGTACTCCCCTCCCCCAAGTCCAGCTGCTCCTGGGAACTTGGCCATCAGAGTCCTAGTTGGGTGAGCCCCCAGAGAAGCTAGGGCTACATGGATCTGAGATATTTTGCTCCTTTCTCCCTCTTGTAGTTACTGTGAAAGGACTTTTTTCTAGCTCAACCAAATGCTATCAAATATGGTTAAATAAATTCTGGTGCAGTGTTAAGAAATAAATAATAGAGCTCTCTAAACCTTCTCTTTAAAATACACATATTTTCCTTTGGAAATTGGAAACTGCTACCAAAAATAGTATAATTTTGATGTATAATTATATAAAATTTGATGTATAATTATATAAAATTATATATTTGATGTATAATTATATAAAAGAGCAACAGCACTTCTTCCCCATCAGGAATTAAAAGCACTTCTAATATGATGACATATTCTCCCACAGGGTAGAGATAAGGAATATGATAGTCCCAAATGCCACATGCGTTCCTCTTCTCTATTTCCTTTGCTTTTGTGACTCAGCCATTCTACTGAAATAGTTCAAGCCCCAGTTTTCGGACTCTCATCCCAGCTGTTAAAAATTTCCAGCTGTAGCTGGGTGCTTGTGGTTCATGCCTGTAATTCTAGCCACTTGGGAGCAGAGATCAAGAGGATTGCATTTCCAAGCCAGCCCGGGCAAATAGTTCACAAGACCATATCTTGAAAATACCCAACACAAAAACAGGCCTGGTGGAATGGCTCAAGTGGTCAAGGCCTCCCTAGCAAGTGGGAGGCCCTGATTTTAAAACTCCAGTGCTACAATCAATCAATCAATCAATAAATAAATAAAATCAAAAAATATGAAGATGTGCAAGGAACTCGGGGGCACGATAGATACTGAACTTTTCGCCCTTTGTTGTTGCTTATGGTTTTCCCAGGCCAGTGAATCTTCAACTGGTTTTCCATTGTGAGTCCATGACTTTCATGTGTGACACACTCCTACTGTCATACTAGATTTTTACAAAAAACACTGATAAGATATTTTTCCTGATAAGATTTCAGTGTCACTAGATGTGAATGTCCACATGGTCATTCCTCATCAGTTATGGTTAGATGCTGATTCAGAAATGATTGCATTTTGTGTTTATTTTCTCCACTATTCAGGAGACTTTGTTAAAAGTTAATAAATTTGAGCTAGGTGCCAGTGGCTTAAGCCTGTAATCCTAGCTACTCAGGAGGCAGAGATCAGGAGGATCGTGGTTCGAAGCCAGCCCTGGCAAATAGTTCTTCAGACCCTATCTTGAAAAACCCTTCACAAAAATAAGGCTGGTGGAGTAGCTCAAGGTGAAGGCCCTGAGTTCAAGCCCCTGTACCACAAAAAAAAAAAAAAAGTTAATAAATTTTATAGAATAAAGTTAGTTTCTCAATTAGGATTATCTGTATATTATAGATTTTTATCTATATGTGAAGCAGATTAAATACTCAGAATCCATTTACTAATATGCAGCTCTAGCACCTTGTGTTGACAAGTTAAAGCTTTTTTTTTTTTTTACTTGCCCCATTTCCTCAATCCAATTCCCAGGCCTATCTATTATGAAACTTAGGTTGCCACATCTAGAATTATGTTTCTGTTTCTTTGTTTATAATGACTTCCTTGTTGATTAGGTATAACTCTGAGAGAATCATCTTTCTTAGGCCTGTTGTGGTTGATGTCAGTTTTGAAACCTATGATAATATGCCATTTTCCCCTTAAAGCTCATGATATTCTTACTTTCTCTTAATCTTTTTATTTTTTTTTTTCCCGATACTAGGGATTGAACTCAGGGCCTACAACTTGAGCCACTCCAGCAACCTTATTTTGAGATAGGGTCTCACGAACTATTTGCTGGGGCTGGCTTCGAACTGTGATCCTCCAGATCTCTGCCTCCTGAGTAGCCAGGATTATAGGCATGAGCCACCAGCACCTGGCTCCTCTCTAAATCTTTTAAGGTGATTATGTTTTTCCTTTCAGGAATATATCATTTGCCAAAGAGTTTTGCTGCAAAGTTTTCTGCTAAAATTCAAAACAAAAACAATGCTGTTTTTATCCTCAAATTCTTCAGTATATATTATTGTTTCACTTAGAAACTAACATATCTGTTTTGTACATAGTAACTTAAGGCATAGATAATATTCATGAAGAGGGAGACTATCAGTTAATCTGTTTTTGTGTGAAAGCCAACTCTAAATTTACTGGTTTAAAAAGTCAAATGAATTAATTGTTTCTCACAGTTCTGTGGTTGGCTGGGCACTTCTGTAGGTTTTGGACTCTTCACTCAGTGTTGCTCATTTGTCAAATTCAGATGTTGGCTGAATGATCCAAAATGGCCTCACTTGCATGTGTGATAGTTGGTGCCAGCTGTTGACTGAGATGCCTTACTTCTCCCCCCATGATCTGTCATCTTCCATCAGACTAGAGTCATAGCATGGTGGTCTCAGGGGAGGACTCCAGGAGAGCCAAATCTGATGCAAAACACATGTTAAAACTCTGTTTCTTTCACATTTGTCAGTGTGCCATTGACCCAAGCATGTCACATGACCAAGCCCACAGTCAGCATGAGGGTGAGCTTAGATGGCATCCCTTGCTGGGAAAAATGGAAAAGAAAAAAAAAAAAAGCTATTCTTAGAAGAGAGTTAACTTCTTAATAGTTGTGTTGGGAGAAAGAGGAGTATCAGAAACAGGAAAAGGGAACTAAGAGTTGTCATCAGTGCCTTGAAGTGAACTCTAACCTAAGAAATAATACCACAAAAGTGTGGCCAAGGTAGTACCACCAATGAACCAGTTAGGCAGCACCTGATGCAATAAAATGTTTTAATAAAAGCATTAATGATTCAGAAAGCACTTACATTTAATGAGGCTTTATAATTTAGAAGACATTTTCATATGTCTTGTTACATTTATCCTCAGGGTACTACATAAAATGTTCAAGATGGTATTGAGTCCCATTTTACAGTTGATTAAACCAAGATTCAGGGAGCTATGTTAACCTTTCCATGGTCATTACACTATTAGATAAAAGAACCAGGATCTAAGGATTTCTTATAACTATCCCTGTTCTTATTCTATGCTAAAACTTTGTGCAAAGAATAAAATGTAAGTCAAGCAAATACATAAATGTCAAGAAATGAGGCTTGAAATTTTATCAGACAGAAGGTAGTCTGAGCAAAGAAATTGATGCCCTTTTCATGTGTTTCTTTTAGTAGTAATTGATAGAAAGCTTATGTGAGATTGGATTTATTCTCTTCATACTTTTGAACCAATGATGGAAAAATGGGAAGCAAAACTGAAGAAAATTGAGGAACGAGCATCTCACTATGAGAGGAAACCATTGTCCTCAGTGTATAGACCAAGATTGTCCAAGACAGAGGATCCACCCTCCATTTGGAAGCTATTTCATCGACAAAACCAAGCTTTCAATTTTGTTAAAAGCTGTAAAGAGGTAATTACCTCATCCTTTTTTTTTTTTTTAAGAGCAACTATAGCTCAAGATTTTTTTTTAAAAAAAGGCTATCTTCCTTTCAGCCAATTTACTCTACCAAGAGAATATAATGGCAATCTTAGTATCACATGGTTTAGGAAAAATATCCCTTTGAATCATTAATCATTTTATACACACACACACACACACACACACACACACACACACACACACACACCTGTTTTTATTACTGGGGATTGAACCCAAGGCCTCACACTTGCTAGGCAATTGCACTACCACTTGAGCCATGCCCGAAGCCCCAGTTTATATTAATAATGAGAATGAATGACTTATTCATCCTAATTAGCTTAAAAAGTATTCATTGTAGGACTGGAGGCATGATTTAAGCAGTAAAGCACCTGTTTAGCAAGTGTGAAGCCCTGAATTCAATCCCCAGTACCAGCAACAAAAATAAAGTGCATCTTATAATGTGTGATAGCATTTAAGTGAATCTGTGCCTAGAGGAAGAAGGATTATAATTATTGCCAACACATAAAGCAAGTGGGAGGAAGGCATGCTTGATACATGAAAGCCCTGCAAAGAGCATGGTGCTCAAAAGCAAAACTGAAATGATCAAGCAGTAGATGTATGTTTAACATCCTGTGTTTGTTGGGTGCTTGGGGAATATGAAAAGATAAGGTTCATATATGAAATCTAACTGAAATATGCTAGGGTTCTTGTCATTGATGCTAGGTAGCAGCTCAAAGTGTTTAAGATTTGGGAGAGGAAATTTCTTCCCCTGGTGAGGAGATGCTCACTCAGATATCATCAGAATAATTTAGGAAATATAAGAAAAGCCTTCTCATTTTGTATAAATCTAATTCAGGTGTCAGAAGTTAAAATACAGATTCATTTGCACTTGGATTTTTTAAAAAGATGAGGTATGCTTGCCAGACTTGGCAATCACATCTGCAAAATTTATTTGAAAAAGATTTTTAGGAGGGTCAGACACCTGAGTCTTTCTGTGATTGCTCACACATGAAAATGAAAATAAGAGCCAGGCACCCTGGCTTACACCTGTAATCCTAGCTACTGGGAGGTAGATACTGGGAGGACCTCAGTTCGAGGCCAGCCTTGGCAAAAAGTTAGCAAGACTACATCTCAATCAATAAAAACTGGGCATGGTGGCATGTACTTGTCATCCCAGCTATGCAGAAAACATAAATAGGAGGATCACGGTCCAACCAGGCTGGCCTGGGCATAATTGTGGGACCCTATTTGAAAAATACCTAAAAAAAAAAAAAAAAAAAAAAAGAAACCTAAAGCAAAAAGACCTAGGGGTGTGGCTTAAGTGGCAAAGCTGCTAGCACAAGGCTCTGAGTTCAAACTCTAGAACCACAAAAAAAAAAAGAAAGAAAGAAAATGAAAATAGTTTCAACAGCTACCTTTAGCTAAGTAGAAACAAAAGAAGGTGTACGTGTATCACTTATGCCTTTATTAGAAGAGGCTCTGTATGGTGGCAGCCTGACAGTTTATTTAGTTCAATGCTGTAGTAATCTGTAAAAAATTTATTCCATGTGCATTTTTATGTGTATTACAGAATTTTTAAATTAATTTCAGTCGAATCATTTATAGTAATGTTTAGGTAGTTTTGACTAATTTCATAAACTAAGAAATAAAACTGTCACAGGAAATTAAACTAGAGTAGTAGAATTAAGAATGGTTTTTTCCTTCTAACCTGGATAGTGTATTTGTTTCCATCTTTTTTCTTTTTTGTTCTTTCATTTATTTTTTTGTCTTGTTTTCATCTTGTACGTGTATTATCTGTATGATTAAAAATGAATAAATGTAAATAGATTTTGAATGGTGTTTTTAACAATATAATGTTCATATTCCAGTTTCTGAAGACTTGAATGGTGAAATTCTTTTTTTAATTTTATATTTTGCATTATTTTATTTTAATTAGCGTACATTGATAGTACCAGGGGGTTTCAATGTGATAATTCCCTAGATGAATACAGTGTACTTGGAACAAGTTCACCCCCTCCCTTCTGTTTTTTTACCTCCCCCACTTCAAGCAGTGTTTGTTAGGTTTCATTATGCTGTCTTCATGTGTGCACGCAATGTACTTCTACCCTCTTCACTGATAAAATTCTTTATGAACATTTTGTAGCTACAGATGAATTTAGATTTGGGTATCACACATTTTTTAATATTATTTTAAATTTTATCCAGAATGTGCATGTGTTTGCTTTGGAATGCAAAGTGGGAGATGGACAGCGTGTTTACCTTGTAACAACCTACACTCAACTTTGGTTTTACTATAAATCCAGGTAAGTAGTTTGTAACAGAACAGTACATTAAGCTAAAGGTTGATTTCTTTGTCTAGTAGTTTTGGTGAAATTAAGTGAGGCTAAATTGACATTCACAGTTTCTGACCACATACAATTTATGCCATCACTATCAGTATTGAGTTCTGGAGTTCCCTTGTCTTAGCAACACTCAGTTATCTCACCAGGTGTGGGAGGAAATCACACACATGCGTGTGCACACACACACAAACACACGAGTGTATTTAAAGGAATTTTGTGAAGTTTCTCTTTTGCAAGAAAATATTATAGTGTACTATTAATTATAAGTGAATGCTTACCTTATTAATTACCTAATAAAGAAATATGTGCTTTATCTGAGTGTTGTATTTACCTATTTCTTAGACCTGAGTAATGTATAGGAAAGAAGAGTAAGTTAATATAGATGCCCTGTATTAATGTAAAATACTTTAATTATAATTTTGCTCAAGTAGTTTCAATTACAAAACTAGATTTACTCATGTTTGTGTACATGGAGTACCAGTTAGAGGTGAATTAAAGTTTTTAATGTGACTGATGCTGTTTTGCTGAACCTAAGTCTCATCTTGCAACATAAATGTTGTACTGTTATAGAATTCATGTGTGCACCTGAGTTGTATTTTCAGATCCTGTACTACTGTGTCACATGATACAAATCTCTCATCACTTTTTATTCTTCAAGTTATTACTGACCCTTTATTTGTGTAGAACAGCACTCAAATTTCACTTAGCCCAAATTATCATTTACATTTTGAGTCATCATGTGCAATTATGTATTCTTATTACATGGCAAAGTCATTTCTCCCATGCCAGCAAGGATATAGCTGCAAATGTGAGCATTGGAAGCTTATTGAAGTCAGGTGATTCAGATTAGCGTCTTTTTTTTTTTAAAGCAGTTTTTAAAATGTCATCTTCCTAATAAAATATAAAATTTGAAAATTCTCATGGAAAAGTCATGGCATCCCAAGAATATGTGGTCTTGGGACTCCCAATTTGACAAAGAACAGTCTTTTCTCAAACAAAATTTATTTCTTGATGATACCACAAAATAGAGGCATTACACAGTGTTAAAGTCATCTGCGAATAAGTAACACCATAAGACTGACCTTATTTCCCAGTTAAACAAATCAGAGTATGATTGTTATATCATTTTTAGTGGAAACTCTTGATACTGTGAGCCATAACTTATTGTGGACACATTCTCTTTAGTAATTTATTATTTCATAGTTACATATAGCTAAAGCACAATCAACACTATATTTGAGATATTCCATGATTTAAAAGGTATAAGAAATAAATCTATCAATCTTGAATTACTTAATTTAGAAAAACTCTCTTGCACTGTTACGAAGTTATCCCTGAAAATGCTGTGTGCAAGCTTTATTTTGATTTGGAATTTAACAAATTGGCCAATCCAGGATATGATGGGAAAAAGATGGTTGCATTACTAATAGAGGTAAGTGACAAACTCAAGTTTTTGTTTTATATCTTTCCATTCATTTCCTCATTCACTTACTCATTCATGAATCCAGCATATGTCATATAGGTTCTGTATTTTTCTTCCTTTTTCCTGCTACTTTTTCTTTTGACTTTCATTTTGTAATATTATTTCAAGTAAACTGTGAAAAGAGATGAAAACTCAACTTGTGTCCACATATTTTATAATATTGCTATATCTGGTTAAAAATATTTGAGAAAGGTGACAGCTTGGGGATTTTCTGGTTTTAAATTATGTATTAATTCTCTCACTTCCATTATAAATAGCAAGCTGTGGTCAAGGTCTGTGATTTTCACTTTAAAGCTTGGGTTCTGAGACAAAGTTCAAGGAGACTTTGCTAAAAATAGCAGCAGAATTTTGACCTGCTGGGAGTTTTGGAACTTATATCTTGTGCCTTCATAAATGAGGAAATTAAGACCTGCAAGAGACCAGTGCCTCCATAGGTCTCATAGCTAGTTATTGGCAAAAACCTAGTCTAGAAATACAGGTATTTCTGTTTTCTTCTGAGAGAAAAAAGTGTAGTTATAGTATTTTATTTATTTTTTTTTAATTTTTATTTTTTTATTATTCATATGTGCATACAATGCTTGGGTCATTTCTCTCCCCTGCCCCCACCCCCTCCCTTACCACCCACTCTGCCTCCTCCCTCTCCCCCCTATAGTATTTATTTTAAATTTTGTTGTATCAACCAGGAAGTCACTGAAAAGAGCTTATGCAGTTAAGTTATATTGGGATTGTTTCTAAAAAATTATGATGGTGTTACATGAAGTTATATTACAATTGTATTGACTATTATTTGATCTCAGAGTATGTATTAACATCTACTGATTATTTTTTCTTTTAGTGTTAACTGACTAATAATTTTATAAAAATAATTTTGGAACTTTAAAACTACATCCAAATTAAAATTGTTGTGATAAAGGATGTATGCCAATTACATGTTTGATTTTTAATTTATTTGGAAAATGGGTGCAAGTACTTTAAAATACATAGAGAATGTTAGCTTTCTCCTGGTTTGAAGCAAAATATAGGTAAAATCCTCCTTAATCCTCAAACCAAAACCAGTTATACTTTTCTGAAGATAGCCATTGAATCCTTTAGAATAAATATAAATGCTTAATTTCATTGTAGTTGGTATGTTGGGCTTCATTTGGGGGTAGTGGGACTAGAGTTTAAACTCAGGGCCTCACACTTGCTAGGCAGGCACTTAACCACTTGAGCTACTCCACCAGCCCTTTTTTGTGTTAGGTATTTTTGAGATGGGGTCTCACAAATTGTTTTCCCGGGCTGGTGATGAACACAATCCTCCAGATCTCTACCTCTTGAGTAGATAGGATTACAGGCATAAGCCATAGGTGCCCAGCTCATTGGACTTAATTTTTAACCTTAATTATGTTTTCAGTAATTCATAAATACTGATTTTTTCTGGTGTGCAGGACTTCTTATGTAGGTTTTCTGTGGTTTGTGAGGAAATAAGATTCAGAGATTTTCACACTTAAATATGGTAGGACTATTAACAAAGTAGCACATTCTATTATCAACACTAGTATAAAACCCACTTGTAACACAGATTAGTAAACAAATGTTGCAAAAATATTTAAGTGTTTAAATTTTTCTCCCTAATTCCTTGTATCACCTTACTCAAATAAACCTTGAACAAGTAACCTGCAGAAAAGATTATGGAAATGGAAGTTTAAAATTATATAACATTTAAAAACATACCATGTTGCTAAAACAGTTCATATTATTTATTTCATACAATGCTTTGATAAATAATTATCTTGAAATTAGTTTTATTTATTGGTTATTTCACCTATAACAATGTTATAATGTAAGTACTTTTCATTTGAGTCTGTTTGAAGAAGCATAAATTAGGTTAGCATTTATCTTTAAATTAACAGCTAGTTAATAAATAACTGATTATTAACAAGTGGCTGTAATGTCAATACCCTTTGGCTCAATGACATAAATGATAAATTTTGATAAGACCAATTAGGATGAATTCTTGTGCAAAAGCATTTGTCAGGTAACATTGCTCAAGGTAATCATCTATTTTTAACTTAGATTTATAACTTAATTATTTAAATAGCTATACACATTCTATTTAAAGTTTAACTTGGGAAAGCATTTAGGGGAATTGGATTACTTATATTAGCTAAAAAGTCATTAAGTTTATTCTCTATAGCTCCAAAGTATGATGGAACTCTATTCATCTATCAAAAAATTTTCTTTTCTACTAGGTTTGAGCTCTGTGCCTGGGCTCTAGGAATACAATGGTGAGCCAAGAGAGACATGGTTTCTGACTTCATAGAATTTTTAGACTAATGGAGAATAATAAGTTAGCATTGACTTAGCTGCCATAGGCAAGATCCAAAATTAAAGTGATTCAAGCAAGAGAGAAACATGTCTCTCTGATGGAACATCCAATGTGGTTCCACTGTGTTAGGGATTAGATTTCTTGCTTTGCTATTTCAAAAGTGTTATCTTCTTCACATTGTCCAAAATTCTACATTCTAGTCTGTAAAAAAGGAGAAGGGAAGGGCATGCCCCTACCTTTAAGAGTATAACTTAGAAATGGCATACTTTCCTTCTTTCACATCCTGTTAGCCACAATTAGTCACATGGCCACAGCGTGCTATAAAGGAGTCTTGGAAACAGTCTTTATTCTGGAGGCCCTCTTATCTCACTAAAAATCAAGATTCTATTTCTGCAGAAGAGGACAGATGTTGGGAGATACATTCTATAATACAGAGGGAAGAGATGTCACAATAACACAAATTAGTGTAAAATTTCAGCTGTGTAAGTACTACAAAGAGATAGAATGTATAGTGGGAATTTGATGTAGATGGGAGCCTTCTCTGAGAAAGTGAGAATTTACTAAAGAAAGTAAGCTCAGATATTGTGAAGGGGACTTTGTTCTAATAAAACAAATAACAATGTCAACAAATACAATGAATTGTGTAACTAGTAGGTATCTAGGTAGCTGGCAGACAATTTCACATACATTTTGCTAGTTAGTGTGCCAGGCCCTGTGCTAACTCCTTATTCTCATTTCATTCCTTATAACAACTACAAAAGTTAGGTTGGTATTATTCCCAGTAGCAGTTGAAGAATGCAGGGTTGAGATTTGACCAGAATCACAGAGCTGGTGGCAGAGCCAAAACTCAAACTTACTCTGTGTGACTGAGAATGTTAGACTTCTAGCTGTGTGCTTGCTTCCTACTATCAATGTCAGCAGAGGCTATATACTTACAGGCTGATATGGGCTCAATATGAATAAGAAATTTTCTAATGATTAAAACTATAAAAAATGAATTAGTGACCTTTAACTCAAAAAATACTTAAAATACGATTAAAAATATTTTAGCATGATTTTAGAGGTTGCTATGTGAATTGACTTTCAGAAGGCCTTTTTAATCCTGAAAATTTAATCCTGTGGATTTAAAAAAAATAAACATGCATAATAACTTTAAAATGAGTTTATTTCAATTTATATGTAAATTGGTTAGGATTATTATATTGTAAATATTCTGATATCTCGAACATTTTGTGTGAGCTGGTGGTATGGCTCAAGTGGTAGAGAATTTGTCTAAGCAAGTGTGAGGTCCTGAGTTCAAACTCCAATACCACCAAAAAATTATTTTTTACTTTTTTTACATTAGTTAAACTTATTTGTACCAAGATATTTGAATTTTGCTCATAAAAATTTTAAAACACAAGCCTTGAATGATTTACATTTTACTTATGTTGTTAGCATGTTTGTAAAGCACTTCAAGAGTTATTCAATGTTCATTGTTCAGCTGAAGATGTTTTCAACTTGGATTCTAGCACTGATGAAAAATTTAGCCGCCATTTAATATTTCAACTCCATGATGTAGCATTTAAAGATAATGTTCATGTTGGTAAGTACACTGCTTTTTAAAAAAAACATGGAGTTATATTAAAAACTCCTATATTCCTATTCCTCTTGAAATTTTATAAGTATCAGTTTTTATGCTTGCTACCTTATCCTAAAAAAAATAAAATGCGATAGTTTATGTTTTCAGCATTTCCCCATAGTTCTTGATCTGTTCTAGTTTAAACTGCTCACAACATCTGTGGAATTAGTGCCTCTTATCATAGATACTGGGCTAGCCATGTGTGCCCTGATAATTGTTTCCGTTTCAATCAATTTTCTGGATAATTCATGAGCGGTCCTTTCATTTTAAACCTTATCTGGATTTCTGACCTTTGCTTCAGCCTTGAATTAGTCTTAGCTTTGGGACTTAGGTCCCAGCTCATATCAAGGAAGACTTGCTTATTGTTCCAGACAGACTTTCAGGGTTAGAATGAAATCTAGATGTATAAGCCTGAAAGTGTAACCAGAATATTTGTTCCATAATTGCACATTTAGAGAACTGGCTCAGGTATAAAATGAAATCAGTCCACAGGAGAAACAAAAGGCAAAATACAAATACAAATATAGATTTCTGAGTACTTATTAACGCAGGGATAGGACAAGTATTCCTAGCTCTAAAGAGCAGACAGTTAAGTGAAGTTCACGTAAGAGGCACCCATTTCAGAGTTACAAGTATCATAACCACTTAGGGTAAAAGGCATGAACATAGTCACCAAAGGGCTGGCATAAATGTTAGGAATCTAAGTGCTATATTAGGTTGTATATACCTAATATACATATAATATTAGGTTGCATATACCTAATATAAGTATGTATATATGTGTACATACCTAGCGTGGTATGTACACAAGGCTCCTGTTATCTTCCTGTTTTCTGTTCACTTAGCTGGACATTGCTTCTCTGTTTCTTCCTGTCATCCCTTAGATATTAGTAATCATAGAATCTATCCTTGACTCTTCTCAGTCTGTTCTAACACTTGATGTTCACCCACTGTTATGGCTTTGCTTATCATCAGTGTTGATGACTCTCAAATCTTACCTTTAACTAAGATTGTTCTAGACACTAGACTTATATAGCCATCTACCTACTAACCATCCCCACAGACACTTCAAACTCAGCATGTCCTACACCAAGTTCCTCCCTTTCCCCCAGACCTTCTCCTGTGATGTATGTCAGCAAATGGTACCCAGTAGAAGTATTGGTGTCATAGTCAACCTCTGAATGTTTTACTCTACCTGCTTATTCAGTCAGCTAGCTACAGTAAGCTGATTTTATCACTCGTGTGCCTCAAATGCTTACAGAGATTATTGTTTGCTTTCAGGAAAAAGAGCAGATGTCCTTTCTCCACTTTTTCCTCTCACTTAGCTCCCGCCGTAGACATGCTTTTCCTAGTCCTTGAGCCTTTCTACTTTCTGTTGCTGCTGTCTGAATAGACATCCCTCTGATTCACCTTGTCTATTAAAGCTCACTGTAGATCCCAAGTCTTCTGAGAAGCTGTTTTTGTCATGTCCCCATCCGTAAGGTTTAGGTTGGTGTTCTGGGTTGCAGGCAGTGTCCAGTGCTTATTGTGTCAAAGCATTTACCACTTCCTGAGGTAGTTTCCTGTTTTGTCTTCTCCTCTGTCTCCTTAATGCTTCTTTATGGTAGGGGCTGTTTTTTATTCACTATATTATTTTCAGAGCTTAGCACATATTAATAATATTGTTATCAATATAACAATAGCAATAATAAATATAAGTAGCAGTTAATAATTATTTGCCAAATGAATGCATAGATGTAAGGCAGAGTGAAAGTAGAGTCCTGGACAAGATCTTTCTTTATCTATTCCTCTTTATTCCTCATAGTGTGCTTTCTGACTGTGGACATGAGGTTAGAAATCAAGGCTCTGTGGCTAGGGAAGAAGGGGAGAATATAGATACTTGTCAGGTAACTAGCAGTTTCTGCTGCAGATATTACTCAGTCTGGGCTTTGGATAAAATTCCATCATGTGGACAAAGGTAAGAAAGCTTTCGTGGCCATAGAGAGCAGCATAAACAAAAGCACATAAATGTGACTTTGTGGCTGATTTGGGAAGCAGTGGATAGTCCAGAGTAGCTAAAGTGAGAAGCAGTCAGCCTTCATAAAAGGCACAGGGTCCTAAGTAGTCTAAATGCTCCCTTCAGTTACCCTCCCTCAGTATACCTTGTGATGACATTTCAAGTTACTATTGTCAGCCTTTCCGAAAGAGAAATTAGGTTAAGTGTAAGAGATCATAGAATTGACCTGTGAAATACTTCTGCCATAGTATCTGAGAGTTCTATGCTTAGTTCTTTTGAATTTTTCCCAGCCAATAAGAGTCCCTGACTGGTGAGGAGTGGGGGCATTGAGATTAGATTAGGGAAGGAGACAGCAGAGAAGTTTGCTGGGAGACAGTGTACATGCTGGCTGGCTGACCTGTGTGTAAGCTTCCTGCCAAGGATCAAAGGCAGGCGGGCCTCTTTAGCACTACAATTATAGCTTTCTTTGCAACCCAGGCTCACTTCTTTCATTGCCTAGGATGTCACTTCTCTTACTGCCTAAGGTCAAGTAGATTGTGATTTTAAGTTTCCAGGAAAATTGATATCAATTTATGCTTACATTGTTTTGCTGTCCTTTGATATGTCATATGGCTCAGTGTTTATTTTTTCTTCTTCATTCTAGAAATAATCATGTCTATGTCAAATGGTTTTGCTTTCTTGTAGTGTTTAGTGTTTACAATCACTGATTTTTTTTTTTTTTGAGACAGGGTCTCACTCTGTAGCAGAGGCGGACCTTGAATTTGTAATCCCCCTGCCTCTGCCTCCTGAGTGCTGGGATTATAGGTGTGGACTGTCATGCCTAGCACATTTAGTGATTTATAAGAAATTGGAGCAGCATGGTGGCATATATCTGTAATTCCAGCACTCTGGAGGCAGAGTCAGGATTTCGAGTTCAAAGCCAGTCTGCATTACATAGCAAGATAAGAAAGGGAGGGAGGGAGGGAAGAAGGAAGATAGATTTGTTTCTTTAAATAGAAAAGAAATTAAGTCTAGACGTGGAATCATTTAAGTCTAATTCAAAGAAAGAAATTTTTTAATTTAGAGCATGCATATGTTAGGATTTAAGGATTTAAGCCTTTCTGGTAAATAAAGTGACAAATAAACCCAGACTACTCCAGTTCTAGAGGTTAAATTAAGTTTTTCTTAACTCATTTCATTTATGAAGTATTGTGATTCATGAAGCAATTAATAACCAAATTATTAATTGATTTCATGGTTTAAGTAGCACATGTGATCTTGAAGAAGTTGCAGATTGCCTTACAAACTTTCCCTGGTACAGATAGAACCACTGCTGTTCAGAATACATGGGATAAATGCTGGAGTACAAAATGAACTCAGTTGCTTTTGTTTTGGACTTTAGCCCTGAGGCCATAGTTCACCTGTGACCATTTGAGGGAGAGGCAAGATTAGCAGTGACCTTGGAGCTGTCAATTCAGGGTTCCTGGGGCATGGTGTGACAATTTTAGGAGCCATAAGAGCTGTGAGAGCTTTGAGTCCTGGAGGGCATGGCAGAGAGCCTCTCAGAGCTGGCTGGCAGCACAGTTTCCTCATACAGACCCTCATTGCTTAGTCAATGCTTATGAAGATCATCCTACTTTGTGTTAATAAAAGGGTGCATATTTGGTGACAGCATGTCAGGCTCAGGCCCATACTTGCAACATGCAAATGATTTGTTTACAATTGACCCTACCCTCCTGCCAATGGGAATAGAAAAAGTAAAAGATGGCACAAAATGAAGGAAGTAGTAAGAGAGGCATGTTACAGCTTACAACAACAACTCACTTTAAAAATAATAATAAATAAGCCTTACTGTGTAAAATTGCCCCATGTAAATTTGTGCCTAGATACTAAGTTATGGTTTGTGGAAAAGAAGAATTAGGTTGTAATCATATGCTGCCTCTTTTCCTTAGGTAATTTTGTGAGAAAAATTTTGCAACCTGCTCTTCACTTAATTGCCAAGGAAGATGATGACAGGATTCAGGAGACAATAGACCGTGAAGTTTCCCATTTTTCTGAAGAGCCATTAAAACAAGGAATTTCTTGTAACAAAATGTTCCCAGATAAGGCTGTAGGAAAGAATTCAGAGACACTGGAGGGGCTCAGGTCAGCTGAGCAAACTAGTCCAGATCTTTCATTTCTAGTTGTGAAGAATAGCACAGGAGAAAAGCATCTTTTTGTGGATCTGGGTGAGTAACACTGACAGCTGTCTATGAGACTGGCCTGTACACTCTGTGGAAGGCAAGTCAGTGCCTGCTTGTCATTATGCTTAGGTTCTTGCTGTCCCCACTGCTCCACAGTGACAATGCAGGCCATCTGCAGAATGCGATCAGTGAGTTCAGGAGCTGGGAATGGACTGGTTTCCATTCAGAGAGTTTGGAGAGGTGTCTATGGAGCAGAAGCTCCAGGCTTGCTTGAGCTCCAAAAGAGAATGATTGTGGCCAGCTGTGTTCTGAGGACAACCACGGGATTCCTGTCAAGAGAGTTTTGACAGGGGACAGTTGACCCACACCCTCTAATGCTGGTGAGAGGTTAATTAATGTAGGTTAAATTAATTTTAAAAACAGACACAATATAATATGGTGCTCGTGGCAAAGTAAGGCTGAGCACTTTCTTTGTGGAAGTGGCAGGCTTGTTGGTCGTGGCAGGGGCCATTGCATCAGCTTTCCTGCTACAGTCAAACTGGTGACTTCTTCACTCCAGCTAATGCAGGTTCTCATCTCCAAATCTGAGGATGTAGGAAGCGCTTAGTTGACAAGACCACAGCCTGATTCAACACAGCCAGTCAAGACCCTAATGCAATGACTCCAATTTGGTGAACCAAGCCTCATTTTTAATACTGAGATCGTAGCATGTGACTTGAGAAGCTCCAAGAGCACCTTCTGTCCATAGACTATTTGAGCACTGTACAGAGTCAGTGTTTAAGCATTGAAGGGGAAGTATGTGTACATTATAGGCAAGATTTCCAGACCCAGAGCAGGATTAAAGACGTGCTCCCTGCTGTGTTATATGCCTTTCTAGGGCCCCTGACAGTGAAGTGCCAGGATTTGGAAGTATGGTCAGATACATGCAGTGTACTACTGGTTTGGGTATGAACAAGCATGTGAGATATGAGTGGAGGCACATTCTTCTAAATGACAAGGTTCGTCTAATTAGCAGAACATCAGCTCCAGGTCAGATAAGCTTACAATAAACTAAGGAAAATGTGTACCAGGAAGTTGATACAGAAATAACAGCATTGGCTAATAAATACTCTACCCCAGAATAAAACCCTCAAACAGGATACCCTAATTCATGAAAGTTCGGTCCTTAAAAGTTAGGTTCTGGGCAGACGGAGAGGCTCAAGTAGTAGAGCGCCTGCCCGTCCAGCAAGTGTGAGGCCCTGAGTTCAAACCCCAGCACCACACAGATACACACAAAAAAATTCCTAAACAGCAAAGAAATTTCCCTTAGAGCCTTGAAAGACATATTTCAACACTATATCCAGATTTATTTATATTCCAAAAGAGGGTGGGCAATCATTTCTTATACTCTTTTGAAAAGTTCAGAGATTTAATAGTACATGCAAATATGTCTTAAAAGTTATTGAAGTATAATCCTCATGTAGAAAACTACATAATTTGTGAATGTCTGGGCCAGTGAATTACTACAAAATGAACACACTTGTCACCATTCCACCCTAGACAGGAAAGATGGCCCAGACCCCAGGACCTCTCCATGTCCTGTCCAAGCAGTAACCTCTTTCCCAAAGTAACCACTATTCTGTCCTCTTTCATGATAGATTAGTTCTGTCTTTTTATATATTTTTTATAATTGAAATCATGTAGTATATGTTCATAGCATGCTTTTTCACCCTTTTAGTGATGTCTTTGGTGACTAAACGTTAACGTTATAGTGGTGATACTCCAGCATATCAGTGTATTCCTCAGTGGTGGAAGTTTCTTCTGCTTCTCTTGCTTGTGGTTTAGAGGACTTATTGTTTCACCTTTTTATATTTAGAACTACAGTCCACTTGGAATGATTTTTGCTGATTGGGTGAAGAAATCAAATTCATTATCTTAGCACCATTTGTTGACGTAACTGTTGTTTTCCTACTGCTCACTGCCACGTTTGCCATGAATCCAGTGTCCATACATACTTTGGTTTGTTTCTGGACTCCGTTTTGTTCCATTGTTCTATTGATCAGTTTTTGTGCCAGTACTACACTGTAGATTTAAGTCTTCATATCCAGTAAAATAAGTCCTCCTGCTTTATTTTTTGACATTTCTTGGTTATTCTTGACTTTTTGTGCTTCCATTTAAAATTTAGAATCAAGTTTTCACAACTGATGGATTGCAATGACCTTTGAGGTTACTTGAGGAGAACTGACACTTTTATAACATTGAATGTTTCAATCCATGCACATTTACTTGTGTTCTCTAGTTTCTCTCCATAATTTTTACAATTTTAGAAATCTTATACATCTTTTGTTAGATTTATTCATAATATTTGATTCTTTTGATGCTTCCCTTTTCTCTGGGATTTTACACCACAAATCCTCACTGCTTGGGAGCTCTCAACAGTCACAAGCTTTTTTATTTCTGGTATTTTGTCTAGCTTTTCTACTTGTTCTCAGTTGGAGAAGAGTTGTCCTAAAATAATCCAACTTGTTATTTCTGGATGTGGAAGTCTTTCATGTCAATTTCAATTTATCTTTATATATTGTCTTAATTTTACATACAGCTGTACATAGAAAATAATTCTTTCTAGAGTAATTCTGTACAAAAGTAATTTTTTATTTGCTGCCTATAAAAAGTCACAGAAAACATGCATTCATTTTTAAATTAATTTTTGATGTAGGAGTTTATACAAGAAACAGAAACTTTCGACTGTATAAGTCATCAAAAATAGGAAAATGTGTGGCTTTGGAGGTCGCTGAAGATAACAAATTTTTTCCTAAACAGTCAAAAAATATTTCTGAAGAAAATCAGTATTTCCTCACTTCCTTGGTCAGCAATGTGAGGTATGTAGTCATTGGAACTAAATCATCCTGTGTTCATGTATATTAGTTAACAGTGAGCCAGGCACTGGTGGCTCACACCTGTAGTCCTAGTTACTCAAGAGACAGAGCAGGAGGATCAAGGTTTGAAGCCAGCCTGGGCAAATAGTAAGCAATTTGTGACACCCTATCTTGAAAAAACTCATAAAAAAGGGCTGGCAGAGTAGCTCAAGCGTAGACCCAAGTTCAAACCCCTGTACCACAAAAAACAGTGAAAGGCAGTATATATTGCTAAAATCTAAGATGTGTAAATTAATTTTGCTTAAGAAAAAGAAGGTTCATCTTAAAACTCTCTTTTCTCCGTTAACTGAAAAGTAATAGAGCTAAAGAGCTATTTTTAACCACTTAGTTTTCTCCTTATTTTTATTTATTTATTTATGTATTTTGGTGAGACTGGGGTTTGAACTTAGGGCTTCGTGCTCACAAAGCAGCCAGTCCCTCCGCCATACCTCCAGTCCATTTTGCTCTGGTTATTTTGAAGATGGGGTCTCAGGCTGGCTTGAACTGCGATCTTCCTTAAGTAACTAGGATCACAGGTGTGAGCCACCAGCATCTTACATTTTTTATTGTATTTCATGTACTGTCTAGTTTTCTAAAATGATTATCCTTTCTGTAAAGAAGAAAACACTTGTATTATTTTTGAAAATATAATTACTGTTAATGTCTCATTTTCTTTTCACATATATACATACATACTTACAATTTACATATCTCCTTTATTCAAAAAATATTTCTCAGGCAGCAGGTAGAGCTTTGTGGTAGAGCATTTGTCTAGCTTTCTCAAGGTCCTGGATTTGATCCCAGCACTGGCCCCACCAAATAAATTTCTTGCTTATATGGTTATGTTACCTGGTTTTTCTATTCAACATTGTATTGCAAATACTTGCCAACATTTAATTGTAAATAAAACTTTTGTATTATGGTGATATAATTAATTTTTTGTCAGATCTATTGTGTGCATTCAGGTTCTATGTTTTGGTCAGTTTTTAAGTGTGAAAGTCATCTTCCTTCGTTTGCCTTAACTGGGCTGGCAATTTTGTCAGAACTAAATAGTGGTTGACAGACTAAATCACCTTTCTTTTGCTATGATTCTTTTCAGTTTGCTTTCCTCAAGTATTTCTTAAGGAAAAACTTCTATAGGCATTAATTTTAAGAATAAATATTAGAGCAGGCACCAATGGATCACGCCTATAATCCTAGCTACTCAGGAGGCAGAGATCAGGTGGATCACAGTTGGAAGCCAACCTAGGCAAATAGTTCATGAGCCCCTATCTCGAAAAACCCTTCACAAAAAAAGAGCTGGCGAAGTGGTTCAAGGTACAGGCCCTGAGTTCAAACTCCAGTACCACAAAAAAAAAAAAAAGAATAAATATTAGAAATACATTTATGTAGGTAATGTGTGTGAGTGGAAAGATAGATTTTTTTTTTCCCATGTAGCTCTGTTTTCTTTGTGCTCCACTGATAAAGTATCCCAGAAGTAAGGTTAAAATCTTTTTTTGGTTTTGTTTGTTGAGACAGAATTGCACTAGTAGCCCAGGCTGTCATCTAACTTTCAGTCTTCCTGCCTCAGCCTCCTGCATACTGGGATTATAGACATGTACTGCCACACCCAGCCTTTCTTTTAAAGTGGAAATAATAATAACACTTATGGAGGTGCTGATAGCATTAAGTTAAATTATAAAATAGTTACAACAAAACATTTACATATTTACATAAACATTTACAATATTTGCATAAAACATTTGCAACAGTGGCCAGCACATGCTATCTGCTCAGGAATGGTAGTTGGTAGCAATAGCAGTACCTGCAATTCTGGAAGTAGTACAGTAGCGTAAA